ACACGCACCCACACAGAACTGCTGATACTGCTGCTGCTGTCTGCATCACCCTTCTTGTTGTTTGTGAGTTCAGGGGGAAGTGTTGTTGTTGCTGTGGTGGTGGTGGTGGTGGTTGAGTTTGATTCTTCATTAGTATTGGGTGTAGTACCATTCTCAGGTTCAGATTCTTTGTCTGTACTTCCTTGAATCTGTACAGCAGTACTGTTGCCTGCATCGTTAGTACCTTGCGTAACATTCTCGTTGGGGGAAGTTGGTGCATTTTCAGACTTCTGTTCTTCACTATTAGCATTGGGTTCTTCTGCAGTGAGAGAGCCAACAGTATTCTTTTCACTGCCAGAATTGGATACTCCATTATTTCCAGATTCCGTTCTCGCAACTACTTGTTCATTAGCCTGCGAAGCCGCTTTACCTCCCTTCCCTGAAACAATATCCGGTTGAAGAGAAGGATCAGCAGGTTCCCTTAATTTGTCTTTTGTTGTTCCCTGTGAATTACTTACAGCTCTGTCCTTTTGTTGGGCACCAAGTGTTTCAGTATCGACTGAATCATCTTTACTTTCACGTAGCTCCTCATCCAGTTGCAATTGCTGTTTTTCTTCTGGTGGTTCGTCAGGTTGCTCTTCTTGCAGCTTCACCGGTTCCAGAGATTGGCCCCCTGTACCAGTAGAACTGGTTGAAGCTGAGCCTGAACTCCCAATACCAACTCCACCACCTCCACCATGTCCAGCTTCTTCGGTTACAATAGGTTCAGCGTGATCGGTTACGTCAGAATCACTAGATTTGGTGTCCGCTAACACGAAACTGCAAGTACAACAAAGTGCAAGAAGCACAACAAAGAACAGGCTGCGCATCATCATTAGTACAATAATTGTTACTGCTGTCTCACCTTATTTCTCCGCAAAAAAGAAGAAGCAATAAAAAAGAAATAACAGAAAATAACAGCAGATCCTCTGAATACAACAGAGATACCACAGAAAAGCAAAAACATCAACGACAAAAAAAGTAGTACATTGAATATATACTTGCAAAACAAAACCTATAAAAACAAAAAAGTCGATAACACAAACAAATAAAATCCTCACACATCTTGCCCATAAGCATGAACATACCATTGGAGTGCCTTCTTCTCAAGCATGATGGCTTCTAATCGGTCTTCCTCTGCAGCTGTCTGCCTCTCCAGGTCCGTACATTTCAGCTGCAGTTCTTCTAATTCATCCTTCACAGCAGTCA